GATTTTTCCAATATTCAGGAATGAAAATAATTTTATATTAGATATTTTATTTAATGAAGACATTTATTTATTTTAATTTATTTTATATTATATTTATATAATAATTAGGATATTCATTTTGATCATTTTATAAAAGTTGAATTTTGTATTGGTTATGCATTATATCATTTTTTATTTATAGTAAATGTGGAAATTTTATGCAAAATATTTATTTTTTAGAGTCCTTATAATTTCTTTCAAAATATTTCAAATTTAACTATTGAAATTCGAGTGATTCTTAATTTTATTTTATGATTTATAAATGGATTTATGATTGGAAAATGTTAAGAATTTTGCACAATAAATATATTTCTTTGTAAAATATACTTGTAAAATATACTTAAAAATATTTTCATTTTATCTTTTTAAAATTTTTAGCAAATTGTTTTGATAAACAGAAAGTGTTTTTTCAGTATATTAATATTACGTCATGTGAAATATACAGAGTATCCCCAACTTTTGAGCACAAACTTTGACAATATGAGGTGAAATAAGAAGAAAATGTCATATGAACTTAAGTCATGAAACGCTTTATCTAGAAGTTACAGCAAAAATAGAAAATTTGCAAGAAACAATTTTTCATTTAAATTTGCATTTCAAAATGCGTCGATAATTCATTGTATTAGTTCATTTCTTGACGTCTTGTGTTCGACAAACTTTGTGTTTATTATTTGAAACGAGGTAAACAAGATCAAGCGATATACAAGTAATATGTCGCCCAATGATAATTAAAACGAGCATTATCTCGAAAGGTGGATTGATCGAGAAGGATCGATATTTTGGCTTGCAAGATCAACAGATTTAATATCTTTAGATTTATATCTTATTATTATCGATGCAGCTGAAGACATTAAACAAAATCGACACAAAATTTCGACAACAAATTCAACATTACGTCGATGCCAAGCTTGCATTAACATGGGCGGAAGACATTTTGAAATGCAAATTTAAGTGAAACAATGTTTCTTGCAAATTTCATGTTTTTACACTTAATTTCTAAATAAAACATTTAATGACGATGATTAAATTGTCGACATTTTCGTCCTATTCTACCTCATAGAACGTACTGTCAAAGTTTGTACCGGAAAATCCGGTGACATCCTGTATATCTATCACATTCTCGTCTCTTTTATATCTTAATAATCTTAATAATACGAACTCGCTTCTCTCAGTGCTCACCTCTTCAATTTTTCAAACGTACTTTTCAATCTCCGAACAGTCGTTCCTTTCTTTCGTGCATAATTCGCGATATCTAGACGAAATAGATTCGATACCTTCTTCTAAGGTGTTTCTACATTTGGAAATCCAAATTCCCAGCTTTCGGGATGATTTCGGGGGCGCAACTTGAACAACGAGTTAGCGATCGCTCTTCATTCGCAATTGCATCCGAGATCGCGATTTGCGATATTATATTCGGTGCGTGCGAGCGGCCGAGCGAGCGCGCGGGCGCGTTAAGCGATAACATCCTAATCTTCTAATCCGCCTCGTTTGTCCCACGAGCGAGAAGCGGAACTCATTGTCGTCACTTGCCGTAGAACGGGTTCAAGGGTAGAGCCGAGCTCGGCTCTCGGGGGGGGACGTAAAGCCTCGCGTGTAACGCGAATGGGGGGGGGACGCGCGCGCGAAATTTCTCTCGATAAGATTCCGCGCGGAGATTTATTCGCGCTGATAACGTCATCTCCGTTTGTCCGGCTGCAATTCGGCCCTCTCACTTTCTCTCTCTTTTGCTTTCTTTCCTTTTTCACTCGACTGCGCGCCTATCGGGCTATCCGTATCTGCCCCTTTCGGACAAATATAATCCTCGTTTCTCGCGATTACGTCATACCTCGAGCGATGGAGGTTTACGGCGGAGATTATATCGCGTCGGGCAGATTTGTAGGGAGGAGTTACAGTTTCTCTCGGAGTTACAGATTCTCAGAGATTTCTTCTCTACGCTGCTTCTGTAAAATCGTCGCGTTATTTCGTCGTGTATCTTCCTTTAAAATTGTATGTGAAATGGAGAGCGTTGTCTATTTTTAACGAATATTTATATTTTTTGTATTAATATAATTGATCTACACAGTTTATTCAACTGCTTTGTCATAAAAAATGTAATATCCTTGTCAGTCTCTTCCTCTGACAAGGAGCAATTAAAAAGAGATAAACCATCGAGTTAATTTAAATCAGTTTAAATCAGTTATAATGGATATACACTTTAAATGCCAGACGTATTTACGCAACTGCATCTTAGAATAGCCAGCTGATATTCTTTTTTCTTTTTTTTTTTTTGTGTAGAATTAATGAGGCAACATTGAGAGATTTTTACATCTTACAAAAAGCCACCATGCGGCTTTAGCGTTTTACAACATCGATCAACGTAATCAGTGTAACTCGCGCTATTGCGTACTCGCAGATATCGCCGTATCAACAATTTAAATAATCCTCCCGGAGTGCACGATATATAGTAAGATCGCAAATTTGCGAAATTGCAATGAGATAACATCACGCTTGATTGAAATCTTCTCCTGGTAAATTCCACGTCTCGCCTCGTCCACTCGGTTCGAGCTGAGAACGAAGACGGGATCGAGGAGAGGGTAGAGAGGGGACGGAAGGACCGCGTCTCTCGGAGAAGAGAGGGAACGAGAGAGAGAGAAAGAGATAGGGATGGAGAGTGGGGAGAGGAGGGAGAAAAAAATGAGAAATCGAGAAGACGAGAGACGAGAGAGAGCGAGCGACGTTTGAACGCCCACGCGTGCCGTCTTAATTACGCTCGGCCGGCCGGTTTTACGATTATGCCGCCTCGAAGAGCCCGAAGAGCAACCACCGCATCGCCGGGGCCCGGCGCCTTTTATGGGCCGCGTTAAAAAGTAATTAGGACGGAAAGGCGGCGCGGGAACCGTCGCGGGAAGGATGTCAACGATAATCTTAATGACTATTGTACAAACGCGCGCGCGGCGCGGCCGATAAGATGATAAACGCGTTCCTGACTCCCGTGTCTCGATCCCGATAACGATAAGGGGGTTCATTGCCTATCGCACGATCCTTAGTAAAAAATCACGAAGGCGGATCCCCGTAGATAACTTTCGTCGCAATGAGAATGTAAAGCCCTCCTTCGCGCGGAGCGCACGAAGTTTTCATTCGAAGCATCGCGATCTCGCGAGAGAACTCGAGAAATCTCAGCAAGATCGACGAGCGTTGGATCACACGATTATCGCGTTGACTGATGACGAAGATAGCGAGAAATCTCGAAAAGGCTTAAATCTCTTTAAAAAAAGGATCACGTGTTTATTGTTGATCGACGAGGCTGATAATGAATTGATAATCGATGACGATAAAATTGAGACGTGTTGAAAAGGAATTATGTATAACTAATGAGATTGCCGATGATACAACCGGGAGACGATAAAGGATATTTTATGGCGAAAAGGAATTTAAAAGATCCTCGAAATCCATTTGCCGTCTCGTATATAAAACGTTTATAAACGTTAATTAAAATTATGAATAGTAAAATTTCTTGTCGCGTTTCAAGTTCCGTTAGAGTGGTGGACGTATAACATTTTCATCTATCGCCTATAAAAGATAGCGGCCTTCCGTCGTATGACATAAAATTCTGAAAGGTAAAGGAATCTTATTTCAAGAAATTCGACAAGAGGAAGAAGAGATGAAGCATGGAGAATGTGTTTTTGTCCTGTACAATATTGTTCGAAATAAAGGCGGAACTGTTTTCGATTTGAGCGATATTTTCCTTCTCTTTTTTGATTAGAGAAAACTTTCGAGAGTGGAAAAATTTTTATCTTTGCGATCGAGCTATATGACGAGATACATTCGAAGATACCATTATCAGACTCACGATGTGCTCGATTTATCATAAGTACTTATCGGTGAAATTACGCCTGTTGTCCGTGGAATACGATTTGATAATTTCACTATTGCGTGATTGCATTTGCAGACTTGTACGTGATCCATAAATAGCAATTTACAACTTAAGCCGGCTGAAATATCGCGAGTTCCTGTACGTGAACGTTGTGAATGCACCTTAGATTACCTCAGATTCGTGCACACGTACGGGATGCACATTCGCGCGCGCGCGCGCATGCGCGCACGTGTGGTACGTGTACACGTGGCTGGCGTGCGGAAGAAGATGAGAAAAGTTGCGCTTTTGGCAAGCCACGTTTCGGGTTCTGGACAGCTCCGGCAGGCATTACGTCTATAAAAAGACCCCCGTGTGTTATACTATTTTCCGGGAGATCTTGCAAAATCCTGAGAACGTTGTAAAAATATCATCATCAGCTGTCATAATGCTTTCACTGCTCTTCAGAAAAATGGGTCGAGAAAAAGCCAAGCGCACCGTCGCTTTTGGGAATATTCCTCGGCGACACGAGGCGCTATATGCGCGCGCGTGTGTGTGTGTGTGTATGTGTGTGTGTGTGTGTGTGTGTGTTTATGCGCGTGTACGGCTTGATTAACGCGTGAACGCGCCGAAACGTGGCGTGACGCGGCCGAGTGTAAAAACTCAGGGCGCGTCGCCTATTAAATCGTCGAGAAATTGACGTCGTTCGAAACGGGAACAAGTCGTTTTGCAGGCGACACTTTCCAACGGCCGCGCCGTGGCTAGCAAAGGCCTCTTACCGTGCCCATCTTTATGTGCGCGGCGTTTACCGTGCACAATTCGCGGCCAGGTGCAGCGGCATTGACGGGATATACGGGTTGTACCCGGACATGTATACCGAGCACCATCTCTCATCTGCAATGCCTCTTCCGATCCATTTTCGAGTCGATTTCTCCCTCGGTTTAAAAAGAAGAAAGCCGCGCAATCGCGCCGTGCTCGCCATATCGTGTCACACACTCGTCCCTCTTTTCGCAAATCATACTTTCGTACTTCTCTCGTACCTCTCTCTACTTATAATCTTCATCTTGGAAATTATATCATAGAAATTCCATCTCGTGCATGCGTAATGACGTGACGCGTTCGACTTTTTCAGGTTAGGCTGGTATGCGGTCGTTCGGAGTTGCTGCCCTCGGACGAGAAGAGCTCGTCCTCGGATGTCGCAGCTGCGAAATCGTCCACGTCGTCGTCCATCGGCGAGGTGCACGCAGCTGCGTCGTCGTTGCCGTCTCACGCGCAGGACGACTTGCTGAACGAGTTGCACAAGCAGCTGGGTAACTTCGTGGCGAGCGTCGTCAGGTCCCGCATCTTCTACGGCACGCTAGCGGACGCGATCTGCGAGGAATATCCCGATAAACGTTGCTGGAACGGCGAGCGCATCGGAGAGTGAGTGCATTTTTCATTGAGTGAAAACTCACT